TCTTAAAGCGGCCAAATTTGAAGACCTCTGATCTAAACTCTACTTTAAAACCTTTGTAGTATCCACTACGATAATATTAACATTGAGCTGTTCACAGCTTGTTTCCCCACCACCACCACTGATTATGAAGCTGTTTTCAAATCAAAATAAATACCTACTAAATACAGGTAGTCCTCAACTTACAACGGTTCGTTTAGTGACTGAAGTTACAATGGCACTGAAAAAGTGACTTATGACCGCTTCTCACACTTAACGACCGTTGCAGCATCCTTATGGTCAAGTGATCAAAATTCAAACACTTGGGCAACTGATTCATATTTATGACGGTTGCAGTGTCCCGGGATCACGTGATTCCCTTTTGCGACCTTCTGACAAAGTCAATGGGGAAGCCTGATTCACTTAACAGCCTAACATAACAACTGCACTGATTCAATTAACAACCGTGGCAAGGAAGGTGGTAAAATGGGGCAAAATTCATTTAACAATTGTCTTGCTTAGCAACAGAAATTTTGGGCTCAATTGTGGCCGTTTGTTGAGGAGTACCTGTACCCTCTAGGCCCATGATGGCAAACCTATGGCACGCGTGCCACCTGTGGCACACGGAGCCACATCTGTGGGCACGCGAGCGTTGCTCTAGCTCAGCTCCGGCACACATGCACGTGCTGGCCACCTGATTTTCAGGCCTTCTGGGCCCACCAGAAGTCGGCAAATGGGCCATTTCTGGCCTCTGGAGGGCCTCCGGGGGGTGCAGAAGGCCATTTTCGCCCTCCCCAGGCTCCAAGAAAGGCTCTGGAGCCTGGGGAGACCGAAAAACAGGCCTACCGGGCCCACTGTGCCATCATGTGCCAAAAGCGGGTGTTAAGGTTAGGGGCTAGCGCATGAGGGGTCGCGCGCGCATGCACAGGGGGGTGGGGTGCATTGAATTATGGATGTGGGTTCACATGCGCGTGACCCCCCCCCCATACTTCCCCCGCTTGTGGCACGCAACGGCAAAAAGGTTCGCCATCACTGCTCTAGGCATTTGCCTTGAACTCAGTATCTGAGTTCGGTACCCTGGTTTCTGTTCTTTTGTGGCGATTTTATAAATGTCCTTCCGCTTCCCTCATTTGTAACCCACCTTAGAAACATCTGAATCCAAGAACGGCGAACATAAATTTAGTAGAGCACATCAGAAAAATATTCTCTGTGGCAGATATATAAAAACCTTTATCACGTTGACTGAATTTTGTCATTTTTTATACGGAGGAAAAAAAATCTCAAATGCTCAATTTGCACAAAGAGTATTATTGGTTGTAGATCATTTTGGATCCCTCCCTCCCTCCCATCCCCAGCTCTACTATCTCTCCCTTGCTTGTTTGCCGGCTTCTGACAAAGCAAACTCAAATGTGGGAAGGCAGATTTGCTTAACAACTGCAAGATTCACTTAACTGCAAAAAGGCCGTACATTGGATGCAACTCTCTTAACAACCACTTCGTTTAGCCATGAAGCATTCCAAAACTACATCCTAGAATGGTGTTTCTCAAGGACAGATAGTCCTCGACTTGCGACTTCAATTGAGCAAAAAAAATTCTGCTGGTGAAACCTTGTTAAGTGGCTTTTGCCCCATTTTATGGGGCACGACTTATCACAGCCGTTAAAATGAACCACTGTAATGATTAACTTAGTAACATGGTTAAGTGAATCTGGCTTCGCCATTGACTTTGCTTGTCAGAAGGGTCGCAAAAGAGGAACACATAATAATAATAATAATAATAATAATAATAATAATAATAATAATAATAATAATAATAATAATTTTATTTCTATACCGCCCTTCTCCCGAAGGACTCAGGGCGGTGTACAGCCTATTTAAAAACAGAATAGACATCAAATTAAAATAATTTAAAAGTATTAAATAAATTTGGCTTAATTTAAAACCCCAAAAATTTAAAACATCCAATTTAAAATTATGTTGCTAACCCAGCCTGGCGGAACAATAGGGTCTTGAGTGAGCAGCGAAATACCCGGAGGTCAGAAATCTTACGAATTTCCGGGGGCAGTTCATTTCACAGGGCTGGGGCTCCCACAGAGAAGGCCCTCCCCCTGGGTGTTGCCAGCCGACATGACTTGGCCGATGGCACCCTGAGGAGACCCTCTCTGTGGGAGCGGACTGGCCAGTGGGAGGCTATTGGTGGCAGAAGACGGTCTCGAAGGTACCCGGGTCCTGTGCCATGACCTCAGGACACTGCAATCGTCGTAAGAAAGGGTCAGTTGTCAAGTGTCTGAATTTTGATCACATGACCATGGGGATGCTGCAAGAGTTTTAAGTGTAAAAAACAGTCATAAGTCGCTAAATACACTGTTGTAAGTCAAGGACTACCTGTAATGATGGTCCATCCTTCTTAAAGTTGCCAAGATTGAGAACTACTGCCCTGGAAGAAATGTTATGTGGGCAGTTTTACAACTTCAAGCGAGTGATACGGCCTTTTTATACAAACAGAACTTCTACCGCGGTTTACATTGTGTGTTTAGCTAACTACCAAGCCATTCAGCACGATGAAGAATTTATGGTATCAAGTCTCATTACGATATTTAAGATTCAGCCATGCAAATTTTATATCCCTTTTGCTAACTAAAATGTTTTAAGCCTTGCTTAGGTCGTTCAGAACATCCAAAATAAAGAGGAGTTGTAAATCATATTGCGATGGTAATGAACTGAAAAATGCCAGTCTGCTTTCAAGGGAAGTTCGGGGAAATGAAGGTTTTATGCAACAATGGAGCTCTGATGCAGCAACTTGCAAAACAGCGACTTGGATCCCTGCCCAGCCCCACCCAGGCTCAAAGTGAAGGAAATTTCCCAAGGAAAATTTTCAATCAAATTTGAGGGGAATTTCTCAAACCTATCTTCAGAAGAACCATCAGAGTTCATTATCTAGGTATACACAAAAGGCTTACTCTTTTTTAAACCTTACAACTGGTACAAATTCTTTTGAACCTGGCAGGGTAGCCAGAGACAGAATGAGCCAGAGTCGTAGGGCAAGGTTACAAATATGAATGAGAGCTGAATGCAAGGAAATTTCATTTTAATGTATGCTGATAAGTGTACATTTAAAGTGACAATAAAATTCTATTTTCTATTATTTTCTATTTTCTATTATTTTCTATTTTCTATTTTATTCTATTCTATTTTATTTTATTCTATCCTATCCTATCCTATCCTATCCTATCCTAAATATGTTGGGTGGCAGTTTAGAAGCAAAAAGAAAATTGGAACCCTGACATTGGGTTGAAAACAATAAAAATTGTAAGCCCCTGATTACAGGTCATCCTCAACATCACTGAAAAAACGTATGACTGGTTTTTCACCCTTACCACCGCTGCAGCATGCCTATGATCATGTGATCAAAATTCAGACGCTTGGCAATTGACTCACCGTCATTTATGACAGTTGCAGTGTCACTTTTTCTAACCTTCAGACTAGCAAAGTCAGTGGGAAAGCCAGATTCACTTAACAACTGTGTTACTAATTTAACAAGTGCAGTGATTCACTTAACAGCTGTGGCAAGAAAGGTCGTAAAATGGGGCAAAAGCCACTTACCATAGCAATAAAACTTTTGGGCTCAATTGTGGTTGTAAGACGAGAACTAACTACCCTGTTTCCCCGAAAATAAGACCTCCCCTGATAATAAAGAGCCCTGGTGGCGCAGCAGACTAATAGCCTGTTATTAACATCCAGCTGCCTGCAATTACTGCATGTTCGAATCTCTCCAAGGCTCAAGGTTGACTCAGCCTTCCATCCTTTCTAAGGTAGGTAAATTGAGGACCCAGTTTGTGGGGGCAATAAGCTGACTTTGTATAAATATACAAAAAGTATGAAGGCTATTGCTTAACGCATTGTAAGCCGCCCTGAGTCTCCGGAGAAGGGCAGCATATAAATCAACATTTAAAAAAAAAAAAAAAGGTTGACTCAGCCTTCCATCCTTTCTAAGGTAGGTTAAATGAGGACCCAGTTTGTGGGGGCAATAAGCTGACTTTGTATAAATATACAAAAGTACGAAGGCTATTGCTTAACGCATTGTAAGCCGCCCTGAGTCTTATTTTATTAAAAAAATAAGCCCAATCGGGCTTTTGAGTGCAAGCGCTAAAATAAGCCTCCCCCTGAAAATAAGGCCTCCCCAAAAATATTTAAACGCAGAGCTGGAAATCAGGTAAGACGGCAAGAGGAGCCCCATCTTGTTCCACGTGCCCCAAAATAATACTTCCCCAAAAATAAGGCCAAGCGCTTATTTCAGGGTTGAAAAATATATAAGTCAGGGTCTTATTTTCAGGGAAATACGGTACCTGTATTTATACTCTACAGCCTATACTAATGATCCAAAGAAACTCACCCCCTTGGGAGATTTAATCAAAACTGTGCTTACTGACTGCATTTAAAGACTACATTTACTTCTTTAAAAGCAACTTAGGCAAGAATGAAGCTGACTTCTTTGTTTGTTTATATAAAAAAAAAAGTGACTTGCAGCCTGATGACTAAAAGCTTGATATATTTCAGGAGTACAAATTTTCTGGTAAGCAATTCTTTCAGCTAATTATAAACCATGCAACTGTACTCCTATGTTTTGCTTATGATTCAAAGGAAGATTCTGAAGATGGAGAGCTACATTTCTGTACGATCCAGATTCAGTAATAGGTTAAAAGATTAAGTTACTTCTATGTTAATTATTGTTATATAATAATTTATAATATTTTATGGAGCCGTGTTGATGCAGTGACTAGAATGCAGTACTGCAGGCTACTTCTGCTGCCTGCCGGCTGCCTGCAATTTGGCAGTTCGAATCTCACCAGGCTCAAGGTTGACTCAGCCTTCAGTTCCATTAGGGTGCCAGTATGAGATATTTTAGCAAAAGCTTCATGTTTTGAGCTTCCAGGTTTAAAATTTTCCCTTTCTTTTCCAATCCTTTCTTAAGAGCCAGCAGTTTCCCACTAGGTAAGTTAAATATCTATATAGACAGGTACAGACCTTTGTAATTCACGGTGCGGAGACATTGTTTGCTCTGGATGTCCCACAGCCGAACTGTTTCATCATGCGAGCCAGAGAGCAGAAGGCTTCCATCGGTGGAGACGGAGAGACATGTCACCTGATTCCTACGGAAAGAACAAGACAGGGGCTTTACTTGAGGTTCTTCAATGTTTTCGCAAGTGGTGCTTTCAAGAGAGGATTTGGGTCAAGATGTCCATGCTCTTGCTCAGCCGAACAAGGGGAAGGTCCTACTTCTTCAACATCTACTGTAAGTTGAAAAACAAATCATACACTTCACACTCTGAAGGGGACCCCCTCTTCCTGAATGGTCATACACATAGTCCTCATTTAAAGACTGCTTCATTCAGTTGACTGTCTGCAGTTGCAACAGTGAGGAAGAAGTAACTTTATGACCTTTGCAGGTCTGCAAAGCAAAAGAAATTCAGTCAGTTCTTCTCTCTCAGCCCAAATAGTGATGTCATGGTGAAGATGCTGGACTAAGAGCAGGGAAGGGAACTCCCTGGGGGATTCTGGGCCAGACGCTCTCCCTCAGCCCTTGTTGTGGTCCGCCAGCAGCCTGCGGAGCTGGCAGCAGAGTTGGACAGCGATGAGGCTGAGGAAGAACAGGGGCCAGTCCTGGAGGCTGGGGAAGGCCTGGATGAGGGCTCTGCGTCGGAGGCAGAGATGGGGCCAGGGACATCGGGGAGTGATGTGCGGACTCCAGAGTCTCCAGAGGCTGACAGTAGAGAGGCAGAAGAACAGGAGGAGCCTGTTCCTAGTGCACGCATGAGAAGAGCTGCCAGAAGGCAAGAGCAGCTACAGCAAAGAGGACAACTCGGGAGTAGGGCCAAGAGATGATTGGCCCTTCCCATAAGGCTTAAAAGACCAGCAACGGCTCTTGGGCTCTTTATCAGAAAACAACATTGATAGATTTGTTTCTTGTCTTGCTGCATTTATTTCTTGTCGGCGTCTTCTGCTTCTGAACTTTTGCCAAGAAAAGCCTTTGGCAGGTTGCCTAATTAGACCAAGGTTGGTGATAAGGCTGAAGAATTGTGTTATGAAGAATTTGTTTTGAATTAGTTTGAACTTCATTGAGAATGAGTTAATTCTCAGCTGTTCCAATAAAGTCTGTTTGTTTTCAAACTGATTGCGTCTGATAATATCTACTTGGGCCTGGGTCACAACAAGAGCCAGTTCAGGTGGGGGGCTCACCCGCGATTTCTGCTATCGGTTCAGGCAAACCGATCCAAACTGGCAGAGTACCACCTCTGATACTCACCTCAAGAACCCATCTGAGACTCTTAAACACTTGAAAAATGTCAGCGGTATGATTTTTAATTGGGGTCTTGCTATTTTGGGATTATGACAGACGTACATTCTTGCAGTAGGGAGCTGTGCTGGCCCAGGCTAATTCCAGTTGTGTCAGTTCAAGAAAGGAACAGAAAAGTGAGACGCTCACCTATGTCCTTTGAAGATCTTTCCGTTCTCCTGCTCAGACTGAAAACCTCTTTCTCTTTGCACAGGCTGAAAGGAAGGGGGGAAATTATATTTTAATGCACCATTCTGGATAATTAAACAGGAATGAAAGATTGAGGACGCTCCTTCCAAGTTAATAATCCACTATATTCCTTATATTTTACTCAGGCAGTAGTACTTTGGTAGAGAGACCTTCCCTTTATCTGTTACCTAAATACTTTTAAACTGGAGGTACTCAGGATCTTCCACTGAACTTTGGTTGCTAGAAGGAAACAGAGATCTGCTGTTGAAATTCACACCCAAATGTCTTTGGCATTTGAGGTACTGTAACCTTAAGGGTGCCCACCAACATTACTTTCCTCTCTGAAAATCAATTTATATTCCGTCCAGGTAGGAGAAGGAAAGTGTTCTGTCAAGATAGAATTAAGGTCATCTCTGGAAAACGAAAAATAGCAGGCTACGGAAGAAGCAATGGCCCTTAAAAACCAAATCAAATCAGGAGGTGGTTTTGTTCCTTCTAACCCAATTAGGAGAAAGCAGGATTTGGGGATGACTTGTGCTATTGAGCTGATCTGCAGGAACACAAAGTCCAAAAGACAACAGCACTACGCTCCAGTCACATTTTAATGAGGTATATTGTATTGGTTAATGATGGCTTCCTTTCTCCTTTTCTTTGGTGGCCTGCTTAGAGCCCCATGGCTTCTGTTCGGGGGCCGTATTAATAAGAAACTAATGGGAAGAAAGCATGGGCCATACAGATCTGACTTTCCATTCCTGACGTAACAGATTCAGCAGACCCACAAAATGTGGCGTTTTTTATTCACGATGTAAGGAAGGACCTTCTGTTTCCTTTATAGCAATAGCAATAGCACTTAGACTTATATACCACTTCATAAGCCCTCTCTAAGCGGTTTTACAGAGTCAGTATATTGTCCCCAACAATCTGGGTCTTCATTTTATCGACCTCGGAAGGATGGAAGCCTGAGTCAATCTTGAGCCATTCAGGATCGAACTCCCGGCAGTGGGCAGAGTTAGCCTGCAATACTGTTTTCTAACCACTGCATGTTCTGCCCCAGCTACGGACCCCAAAGAACGCAGCACACACAAAGTCCGTACAAACCTTAGTTTACTAATTAAGGACTACTAATGAGCTTTCTTAGTAGTTGTTCGAACGCAAGTACACTTTAAATCAGTCTTTTCTGAACAAGGGCTGTTAATTTAATTTCATTAACAGCCGACAAGAATCCAAAGAGTAATAACTCAATTCTGAGGCAGAGTATTTCAGATAACCATAATCTTACTGTGGTTGGCAGAATGCCCAGAAGCAATTTGCAGGAAAACTGACAAGAGATAAACAAGAGCCGAATCAAACGTTTCTGGAATCAAGACGCGAAGGAATATGAAAGAAGTTGTTTTCTGCAAATTGCATCAGTCGTTGTCCTTCCTTAAATAGGCTAGGGGAGTGGCCAATTAGCCCCAAGCCTTACTCTCGAGAAGACCTCCTCCTGAGGAGCCACTCCTGCCTTTTAACAGCTCTGCGTGCTCATGAATCGAGAAGAGGCTCCTCGTTTTCCTCCTCTTCACTTATGGGAGCTTCTGGAGGTTCTGAAGGCCGTGGCTGAATCCCTGCCTCTGGCACCACATCTTCTTTAGCCTCCTCATTTTCTGACTCGAGCGTCAGCTGCACAGGCTGCTAGCGCAGCACCACACCAGCCTACTTACTGTTGGAATCAGCTACTAACTGCACAGGCCGCTAACGGGCCACAACACTGCACCACCACAGCTTATATTAGCATGGAAAGCTTTTGTGGACTGCTGTGTAAATCAGTAACTGCCAATGTGCTTATTCATGAGTGCCAAAATATAGGAGAATGTTTGTACGGTTGCCTCAGGACCTTAGAAATCATTAATATTTTAAAAGATTTTTTAAAAAAATGCTTGAAACCTGGCAAAGGTATAAATCATGTAAGACCGCACTCCTCACCTCAAGTTCAAGTAGACATTGATTTACGATTGTAAATGAGCCTGAAATTACAGTCCTAAGTCATTGTGATCATAGCTCACAGCATCGTGTGACCGGATTCAAAGTTATAACCATTTTTATGGCCATTAAGTGAACACCATGGTTGTTAAGCAAATCTAGTTCCCCCAATGTACATTTTTTTTTTGCTGGAATCTAAATGCTGGGAAATAGCTAAAAATGTCGCAAATTGTGATCACATGACTGCAGGATGCTGCAAACTGCTGTAAAGATGAGCTGGTTGCCAATTGCCCAAAATGCGATCATATGACTGTGTGTGTGTGTGTGTATGTGTGTACAGCATAATTCCAAAGCTGGATCATAAGTCACTCTGGGGAGACCCATTGTAACTTTGAATGGTTAAGAAATCAGTCTCAGGTCAAGGACTATCTGTATCATGAGATTTATAAAGCAAGAAGAGAGGAAAAAATTTCACAGGGTTTGGTAATCCTGTGAGGTTTGGACCATTTGTTCATTTAATTTTACTTTTTTATATTTTTGCATCCATGCATCAATAGACTCCCTGAATATCTATTCTAGATTTCTATAGAACACAATGATCCTAATAGGTCTGAGATTCCATCCCACTGCACTGCCCAAGGCACCTGGGATGCTTACGAGATACTGCGCAAAATGGGACCTACCCAGGAGCAGAGGTCAACCTGGAAGATGGAACCATCCAGCCCGCCACAGAACATGTGGTATTCCGCAAGGTCGAGGGTCACCGACATGATGCTCACATCGAAGACGACAGAGAGGAGAAGGTTCCCGGAGGAGATCTCCCACAACTGAGAATGGGAAAAGGTGCAGATTAAAGTCCAGATTTTAGCTGTAATGCTACAAAATTAAACCTGGGGCCAGTCTAGGAATATGACATGCATTACATATCATTAGCCCCCGACCTTTGCTCTTTCCGCCATGGCCTGAAAACGTGGCTATTTCACCTGGCCGCTTTGGACTGATGGGGGTTTTAATAGAATTTTAACTGGGTTTTTATTGAATTTTTGTTAATTTTAACCTGGATTTTTGTTTTAATGGTTTGTTTGTTTTGTTTCAATTGTTGTGAGCCGCCCCGAGTCCATTGGAGATAGGGCGGCATACAAGTTCCATTAATAAATTAGCAGTACAGTGGGATTTTTACATAGGGAGAGAAAGCTCTTCTTTTCAGAGATTCTAGAAAAAGGTTCGGGAAGCAAGAAGAAAAGATGAACTCTTATAAATGCATCTTCCCCAACCTGGCATTGATCCACACACTATTCCTTCCCCTGAAATTAAGCCCACGTGTTGAGCACAGAGCTTTCTGCTGTTCTTTGTCCTCGCTTGTGCCTTATAATCCAGATGGAATTTTATGTGACCCAACCCTGGGGGGAAACAGCCGCAGCTTCAGTTAGACAGGCTGAGGGCTCACTGGTACTGCCAATTGTATAAAAGCTTGGAAGGAAACCTGGGATATCCGAAGGAGCACCAAGCCACTTTAAGGTTTGAGCTACTTTGCATACAGGCAGTCCTCGTTGAACGGCCACTCGTTCGGTGACCGTTCCATGTTGAGATGGTGCTGAATGAGGGGTATTTATGACAAATCCTCATAGTTGCGGCTGTTTGCAGCGTCCCTCGTTGCAAGTCGGGTGCTTGGAGACCGGCTTTAAATTATGACATTGCAGCATCCCAGGATCATGTAACTGTCATTTTTAAAACCTTCACTTCCAGCTTCCATCAAGCAAAGTCAATAGGGAAGCCAGCAGGAGGTTAGAAATGGTGATTACACCTCCAGGAAATGCTGTGGGATTTGCTTAACGATGGCAGCTGGGATGGCTGGAACTATCACTGTAAGTTGGTCACAGTCACATGAAGCTGTGCCTTACAACTGTGTTGCTTAGTGACAGGATACCTAATCCTAATTACTGTGGTTAAATGAGGACCTGCTTCCCCTTGAAAATTGTAGTTGTTGAAAGTTGTAGACTGTCCCAAAGGTGCTTTTTTCAAGAGGCAACTGGACTTTCTGGTTTTTCTTTGAAGATGTTTCGCTTCTCATCCAAGAAGCTTCTTCAGCTCTGACTGGAGGGTGGGGGAAAAAAACTGACTGGATGGTGGGTTTTTCCCCCACCATCCAGTCAGAGCTGAAGAAGCTTCTTGGATGAGAAGAGAAACATCTTCAAAGAAAAACCAGAAAGTCCAGTTGCTTCTTGAAAAAAACACCTTTGGGACAACCATCATCTGGATGACTGAGAATCTTCATAGACACTTGTAGACTGTCCGTAACACAGAACAGTAATAGGCACCATGACTGTGAAAGGTTACCAGCTTTGAGCTCAGGGGTTCATTTTTCCTACATTCCAGCTAAATGCCAAAGATATGGTGCTGTTTTTTTTCCCAGTCCTTGAATCGGGGACATCCAGCATTTAACTCAACTGTCTCTTTTCCCAATTTTTTTTTTTGCTCTCCTGGTATCCTGAGACTAATTAGAATACATGGTTATTTTACAATACGTTCAGTTCCACGACCCATTTCTGAACTGTGTTATACATAGGACAGAAAAAAATCCATGTTGAAAACAGGCTCTAAATTATAGCCGGGGGGGGGGGGGGGGGTTGGGGGGATTATATTGCCCCCTCCCTCCCTAGCAGGGTGTGGGTCCAGAAAACGTTTAGAAAAGCTTTAGGAAAGGATTTGTTATATGTAAGCAAAAGGTTTCCATTTCCAGACCTATTAAGTATACCAGCTGAAATGAATATGCATAGGTACGTATTTGCCAAGCAGTGGTTATTATTTCCTACCTTAAAAAGGATTCGCCATGAACAAAGCAATTCAATTCCCTAGCCGTGTGCAAAATTATGCAATCCGGTTCGGGAACATTCCATTTTTCTCCTAAAACAGATTGAACTGCCTTTTCTGCATATAGTTTGCTGTTTTTCAAAAAAAAATAAAAATGGCTCTTTAGGAACAGTACGTTATTTGTGCTGTCCTGGTCAAATTCAATTGCAGAGAAACACTGTAACAGTTTAACTGGAGAATTTTTGAAGAAAATCAGAACATCCCAAGGAACTATTTGCACAAAACTATAATGCAGCTAGTCCTCAGCTAATGACCACAATGGAGCCCAACATTTCTGTGGCTAAGCGAAACAGTTGTTCAATGAGTTTTGCCCCATTTTACGACCTTTCTTGCCATGGTTGTTAAGCGAATCACTGCAGTTGTTAATCTAGGAACAGAGTTGTTAAGTAAATCTGGCTTCCCCATTGACTTTGCTCGTCAGAAAGTCGCAAAAGGTGATCACATGATACCAGGACACTGCAACTGTCATAAATATGAACCAGTTGTCAGATATCCAAATTCTGATCTTTTGACCAAGGGGATGCTGCAACAGTCATAAGTGTGAAAAACAGTCATGTCGCTTTTTTCAATGCCGTTGTCAACCTTGAAGCTGACCTGACCGAAGCCATCTTGGGAGCTTCAGTGTTGCCATACTGGAGATGAGGGATAGGGAGGGGGGGGGATTAGAGATAGCTGGGATTTTGTAGCCAAAATAAAATACTTTCTCTTGGGAACCAAGGACATTCTCACACCTGGCCGGAGGGAGGAGGAGCAATATCACCAGGCAACCAGACAGCGCCTTGATTGGACCATGTGACTGATGGTTTGGGGAGGGGAAAAAACTTTTACTTTTAATTAGGTGAAAACCATGGGGAACTTCAGAGTCGGTTTTTACCAGCCTGTGCCAATATGATAAATCAAATAAAACTATTCTTTGAGGAATCTACCTGCCTCGGAGTTTTGTTTGCTGTGGGTTATGTTACTTGGAACTCTGACAGCTGTATCTTTGAACGGTCGCTAAACTAATGGTTATAGGTTGAAAACTATCTATCACTATCATCTTTTTTTAACAACCCCATAATCCCTTGCGGGGTGGAGTCTGGGCAACTGAATGGAGCTAGCAGAGTGTTTTAATGGCTGGATGCCCTTCCTGTTACCAATGCGGAGTTTTGTTCAGCAGATATATTCTTGGTGTGCCCAGAGAGAGAAATATCTACCTTTACCTAAGATCAAACTCACAGCCTCCTGATTGTGAGGCGAGAGCTCCACCTCTAGGCCACCGTACCACTCCAAGTTGAGAACTATCTATGCTGCTTCCAAATTGAATATTTGTACCTTTGCTGTTTGGTCCAAAGAGCCTGTGGCAGCTCTGGCCAAGGGGCCACCAACACCGCAGCAGAGATCTGTGATGGGAAGGCTGTGCCGTGACCACACGTGGCGGGGCTCAGGGCTTTGGCCGTGTTCCACCTGTAGCACACTGAGAAATGATTCAGTTTTAACACAATAAATAGGAAAGTTGTACGCAAGGATGGATTTGGAGCTGCAAACATGCACTCCATTTAACCACTAAAGCAATAATGCTAAAAATGATTGTTAGGGAATTTAGGTGGGAATCAATTGAGCAGATAATTACAGGCTGCCCATTTTATTTGCAGCTTTTTTTTTTTTTTTGATAAAGTCTAAATCTTTAGGCTTCTTCTTCTTCCAGTTGTCTCTACCTTCCATTTTAGATCAACGTATCAAAATCTGACTAAAGGAAGAAAAGGAAGTTTGTCAGCTTCCTGCGGACACTGAATAATATCAGAATTTATTCACTGGGGTGTGTTTGGGGAAATTTTTCCCATCCACAAGAATCTTTCCTTTTTTTCCTGACCTTAAGAGGCTTTTATGTTATGCTTTTTAGCCAAAGCAAGCAGCCTTACTTTCATCTGTGACACATGCCACTGAGGATGCTAACTAAAGAGAAGATTCTGTAGAGGTATCCCCTAACATCCTGGCCCATAACTCTCTCCCTAAATATCAGTATAAAAATGGCATTCTTGTCTTTTTGCAAAACTTGTTCAATTCTACAAAGTTTTTCGATCAAGGTATATGGCCTTATTGTTTAAACTACCAAGGAGATAATGTGATTTTGATGAATCCAAACTTAAAGGTACTTCTTTAAAACAAATATTAATAATTAAGTAATCCATAATTAAAAGTAATTTAACCTAAAGCTTAAATCGTTTGGCTGGACTTATTTGTGAAGATAATACAAAAGGATTGTCAAGGATCTCTTTCTGCACAAAAGCGGAACATACCTCCTCTAAAGCTCAGGACACTCCCAATATGTTAAAAGTTGGTGCCCAAAATAATATTCTCATGCAGGAGCACTGGTAAATACAGTGATGCTGACCTCATGGGCAGAATCGGGAAGTGGGAGGCCATTTCGATTCATACCTGTACAGGCTCCAGACTATGACAAGACAGTCTTTGGCTCCAGAGAGAAAATGGCTGCTGTCGTCCGTGAAGGCCAAGCAGCTTAAGTCCTGATAATGTCGATTCAGGATAGCAAGTAGATTCCCACTAGATACCTGTAGCCAAAAAAGAAAAAAAAGAAAAAAAAAGAGCAGGAATAGAAATAAAGAGATGAAACAGAAGGTCTGGAACGTCTCCTTCAAGTGAACAGGTCTATATATCTCTAAAATTCTGATACCGTTAACATTTAACTGTGTGAAATTTTGCACCATAGGGCAAGAGTATTTCAGCCAAGGTACCTCAAAAGGTATCTAACCTACAGAATGCATCCAAAAATCCAGGACCTGAGACTCAAGTGGAATTGAAATTTGGCAAATTTTATACAATATTTTATGACATAAAAATTATCACAAAACAATTTATGACATATCACAAAATGTCTTATTAACATTCCCCGTGCTGATGTTCGAGTGTGCGTGTGTGCAAATAAATGATAGACAGATAGACAGAGTGAGTGAGTAACATAATTCAATATGGGCTATTTTCAAGGCAGAGACATCTCTGAATATATACCAAAATTTTAAAGATTTTTTTCCAGTGAAGTCGGTATATTAGAAGCTCTGCCATTGCTGTAGGCTTTGAGGAATCTAGTAAGGAAACAAAATAATCAAAATGGGTTGTTTTCAAGGCAGAGACGCCTCTGAATATCCTCCAGAATTTATTTATTTAACACATTTATATAGCTGCTCATCTTTCAACTAACTTCGGGCGGCTCCAATCAAAAGTTAACATATAAAATCATATGAAAAGGGGGAAGGGGGGGGGATGAAAAAAGTGTTATTATATAAATGTACATTAATGATGATATATGCATAACCAGTAAAACAGAAAAGAAATTGAAAGGAAAATGCATGTAAATAGAAAATCGGAGTTGTTTGAACACTATCTTGAAAATATATTGAATTGAAAAGAAAAACAACCAAGAGAGAATGGAGAGAGGAGTAGAGGGATAGAAAGGAAGAAGAGGAAAGAAGAGAGGAAAGGAGAGAGAGGGATAGAAGAAAGGGGAAAGGAGAGGAAGAAAGAGAGGGGAAACAAGAGTAGGAGAGAAGGTTAGAAAGGGAGGAAGAGGGGAGGAGTGGAGGAGGACAGAAGAAAGTGAAAAGAATAGAAGAAGGGAGGGAAGGGGAAGAGGGGAGAAGGAGAGGAAGGGTTGTTGTGAAATAAGGAAGATATGGAATGGAAGACAAGCAACCCCGAGTATACTTTAAAATTTTAGGAGGAAGAAAATATCTATGATTAATAATGGCTAAGAGATTGTACATTTGTGTATGTTTATGAGAAATGAAAATAAAAAAACTTTCAAAAAAAATCATATCAAAACTGTAAAATCAATGATTAATAAAACATTAACAGTAACTTTAGGAAGTTTTACTTCACAGAAAGAGTAGTGGAAGGTTGGTAACAAATCCCAGAGGAGGTAATGGGTCAATCATCAGTACCTGAGTTTAAACATGCTTCGGATAAACACAGGTCCATCATCCCACAAAAAATAAACAAACAACAATAATAAAATAAATAATACATCTGTAACACCATCAAAGAGGGACGTGGTGGCTCAGTGGCTAAGACGCTGAGCTTGTCGATAGAAAGGTCGGCAGTTCAGCGGTTCGAATCCCTAGTGCCGTGTAACAGGGTGAGCTCCCGTTACTTGTCCCAGCTTCTGCCAACCTAGCAGTTCGAAAGCACGTAAAAAATGCAAGTAGAAAAATAGGGACCACCTTTGGTGGGAAGGTAACAGCGTTTTGTGAGCCTTTGGCGTTTAGTCATGCCAGCCACATGACCATGGAGATGTATTCGGACAGCGCTGGCTCTTCGGCTTTGAAACGGAGATGATCACCGCCCCCTAGAGTCGGGAACGACTAGCACATATGTGCGAGGGGAACTTTTACCTTTACCTAACACCATCAAACATCCATATCTGCCTATCGCAGGTCTTTGGGAAGGACTTGAAAGGCAGACAAAAATGTCAAATCCAGCCTGAACATCTGGCTGACTGTGCAGTGGACCATAAAATTAATAATTAAAATTGAATTAGTTAATTAATTAAAAAGAAAACAAAAACAAAAACTCAAAGGGCAGACTAGATGGACCACTGGGTCTTTTCCTGACATCAGTTTTCTATGTTTCTATTAAAACAACAAAAACCTGGCCCCAAATCAAAACTTCTTAAATGCATTTTTCTAGCCTTCTCCCAGGCCTTTGGGGGGGGGGGGGGAGCCAGATTTTTTTTTAAAAAAGAAAACTTTTCCAGGGAAGGCAATACATCTTTTATTCATGCGGATAAACAAAAACCAAACGTAATTAGTATCAACAAACCTGGTTCTGGCCAAGGAATTCGAATTTGCTGTATATTAGGAAACAAACGGTTGTCTATGACAACCAGCCACTCCCAAACCCCTACTATTTACGGTATTTTTCGGAGTATAAGACGCATCGGAGTATAAGACTCACCTACCTTTTTTGGTGAGGAAAAGAAGAAAAAGAAATCTGAGCAATTTTGCCTCCTTGCAACAAACAGCAAACAGACTGCTTTACTTTCATTTTCGTTTTCAGCATAGCTTGATTAGCACAAGGGGGAAAAAAATCTGCTCCAGCAATTTACCTCTTTGCAGCAAGCAGCAGAGCCCTGCGCAAAACAGCTGAGAGCAAATCAGCTGAGAGTCGGGAGGCCGATCCAATCAACTTGTGCTAATTAGGTTGTGCTGAAGCTGAAAGGAGCTGTTTTTTCTTGCTGTTTGCTTGCAAGGAGGTAACTGCTGCGAGGCAGAGGCAAAAAGGGTAGGGGCCAGTGGGTGGGCAGGGCTACATTCGGTGTATAAGATGCACCTAAATTTTCACCCCCTTTTGGGGGGGGGGAAGTGCGTCTTATACTCTGAAAAATATGGTATTTCCCAGCCAGGGAAGGCCTGGCTTGTGTCCATGTCTGCTTTTCCCTGAGAGCCGGCTTATTGTTTTCCTTTGCTCTCCTCTCCTTTCCTCTCTGCACATACGCGCATCTGGGATGGGTCCCATCTGTTCTTCCCTCTCACTTAGCACAGGCCCCGAAGACAGCTGCCTCTCCACCTGGGGGAGGACGGAAGGCCCCGGCTCTGCCTCTGCCTCTGATGCTGTTTCCTTATCAAAGCCTTCCAAAGGCTCCGAAGCTGGCCCAGGCTCACCCTCAACCTCCTCCTCTACCTCTGCTGGCAGCCTAAAGGCCACAACACAACGGCTCACAGGTTCTCTAGTACAGGGGTCAGCAACCTACGGATCTGGAGCCGCATGTGGCTCTTTCACCCCTCTGCTGTGGCTCCGTCACTCAAAATATGCATCACAACCGTCAATGTGTGACACCCACCAGCATGCGATTTATTGAGCTTTTCAACCCCCAGTAGGATAAATCCAAGAAAAGAAAAGTTTCAGAAGAAAACGGAACGTTTAATTCAACTACATATGCTAGTTTTGTGGCCGCTCAGGAAATAGTCAGGCACGGGAAGGGTTTTGTGGCTCCCAGTGTTTTCTTTTCTGTGAGAAACAGGTCCAAATGGCTCTTTGAGTGTTTAAGGTTGCAGACCCCTGCTCTAGTATAAACAAGCATGCAGCTACAGAAAGCCACAAGATTCATCGTAACAATGTACCTAATAGGGTCGATTAAGAGGCCATAAAATGACCGTGTCAGATTTGGTAGTAGCTGTGGATGTCATCTCTCCGACCTACTTTGCAAGAGAGGATCCTTGCATGGCAAGAGGCAGTGACAGCAGCTTTGACAAATGGTCACTGGGGACAAAACTTCTTGTCACCGAAACTCTTTCCTGTCCCATTTTACATGAAGCTCCTTCCTGGCAAGGAATCTCAGAAATTCAAACACTCATTTATTATTTTTGTGAAGTAACAAATTAAACACAAGGAAACTTGTTTTCAGGCCCATTTGGATAAGCATGCGATAGAGTGGCAAGCTGTAGCTATCCAACATAATCATATTAATCTGCAATACAGCACTGTATAGTAATTGACTTTTCAGGAACTTTAGACACTGATTTACTTTTATTTAAAAGGGACGCAGTGACTCAGTGGCTAAGACGCTGAGCTTGTCGATCAAAAGGTCGGCAGTTCAGCGGTTCGAATCCCTAGCGCCATGTAACGGAGTGAGCTCCTGTTACTTGTCCCAGCTTCTGCCAACCTAGCAGTTCGAAAGCACGTAAAAAATGCAAGTAGAAAAATAGGGACCACTTTGATGGGAAGGTAACAGCGCTCTGTGCACCTTCGGAGTTTAGTCATTTTATTTTATTTTATTTATTTTATTAGATTTCTATACCGCCCTTCTCCCGAAGGACTCAGGGCGGTGAACAGCCAAAGGATAAAACACAGGAATACAAAATTTAAAATAATGCCAGCCACATGACCACAGAGACGTCTTCAGACAGTGCTGGCTCTTCAGCTTTGAAATGGAGATGAGCACCGCCCCCTAGAGTCGGGAACAACTAGCACATATGTGCGAGGGAAACCTTTACCTTTACTTTACTTCAGTTTGGGGCCAGTATTATATATACTCTTTTCTCCAAATTTTATCCCTTCAAATAGCGAGACTGCTGTAATAGGAATGAAACTATTTGTGGACTGATTTATTTGCCTGAGGCCTTTTGTGACCTGCAAGGGATCACAAGATGACGGACAGCAAGCTCATCCTCATGGCTGAGTGTTTCATTTAAGAACCCCGGATAAATTCCTGAGGATCACTGTACTTTGTGTTATGAGGGCTAACCAGCATCCTGATCCGACTGGAAAGGTTAAGTGATGCACAACAATATCCAGACAGAAAAAAAAGAAGATTTTGAGCTCTTTTCCATTCCAAAATCAGGCCACTCCAATGCTAATGAGGTTTAACTCTGGTTCTGTATAACTGCAGACAAATCCTTTTTTGACTGACAGGCTACTGTGAACCAGGAATCGTAACACTCTGATTGCAAACCGTTATCCTTTGCAAACCACGTTTTGTGCTAACAGTTAATTCATGGAATCACAGCCATAGAGACAATGTGGCAATAGAGAAATTAATGGAGTGGTCTTGCCAACT